CCGGCCTTCATTCAGGACCGGATTATGCAGTGCCATGCTTCAGAAGCAACCTTTGCCTCCAAGTGGAGGGTCTGCGGAGGAAATATTCATTCATACACATACACATGTAGAAACAGGCATTATCCTACTAATAATAAGCCAGGTTGATTGCTCCCCCAGGGCGTGGCGGGTTGGTGGAAGTGGAGCCGTGGGGCAGGGTGTTGTGCCTCAGTCTCGCTCGCCGGGCTGGGCTCTCTGGGAAAGACTGGAGCCGGTGATGCTCCCAGTGAGCGCAACGCAGTCATCATCCCTTAGCACAGCAGATTTTATTGGGCAGTGTGTGGGTTGCAGAAATGTGTTTAATCAACTCAGCTGTAGGGGAGGTCTTGACCTCATGACAGTGGTTCCCAGCCTTGATTGTGTGTATGCACGTGCCTGTGTGTGTGTGTGTGTGTGTGTGCGTGTGTGAATGGCTCCCAGCCTTTGCTGTGGAGTGTGACCTGCGGTGGAGCCTCTGGTTCACACTCTGCGCTCTGCTGTTGCTGGTTTAAGTGATTAACTGGAGAAAGTGATGACTAATCTGCCGGTTAAAAGTCTGAAACAATTGCAGTCAAACGGGATATTACAGCCAATACTGTATGTAATGTGGCCCTCTGGATCCAATCAAGAGGAACATTATTAGAGAGCAATTCCAAAGCTCTGCTCCACAGTGTTAGATATCCATTTAAAAAAGTATTACTCACAATACTGTTCAGCCACTATAGAGAGATGAGTCTGTCAAAGGTTTTGTATTTTGTAAGCCACAGCGTAAGTTAATTAATACAATTTGATAAGAAGTATCATAAAATGATCTAATTTTGTGCTTTTAAATATATATTGTTATTTTTCACCTTTTTTTTTTTTTCATTTTTAGCAACAATAGCAGTGTGGCAGTGCTGGTGTGTTGGTCAGTCACCGCTTTGGTCCAAACTGAAGTATCTCAACAACTTTTGGATGGTTTGCCATGAAATTCTGTGCAGACATTCACTGTGCTCAGAGGATGAAGCCTACCGACTTTGGTGACCCCCTGACTTTCCCTGTAGCAACACAATGAAGTTGACATTTTGGAGTTTGGATTGCCATAAGATTTGGTAGATGCATTTACGTCGCACTCAGGATGAAATGGTATGTTCTGGTTGTTTATTTTTTCTGACGTCATTATCAAGTCAGAATTTTAACATGTCAAAAGATCATGTCAATCATCCACTGTCTTAGCGTCATACAGTCAACAGTGTCTACTCCTATGCAACATCCTGTGGATTTCTCAGCTTACTACCCGAGCACTGTAGATGGCGCACTTTAAAAATGCTAGCTTGAAGATTTACAGAGCTGGTACACTGGAGTTCACCGATGAACAGACCCCTAATTGCTGCCTGCATTGTGATTTGTGTGTGTATATGTGGGTATGAGTCAGATAAAATAAACCACATGGTGTGTGTATGTGTGTGTGTGTGTGTGTGTGTGTGTGTGTGTGTGTATGTGAGGAAGCTGAACAGAACCCTTTGCTCTCATTTACTATCTCCTTGTGTGGTTTGGCAGCAGCTCTGTTGATATGGGGGCGTACAACGGGCATCCGTCTGGGCGCGAGGCAGGCCTGGCACCGCGCTCAGCCCCCTGCAAGGCTGCATGAGGGTGGGATCAGAGCTGGAGTCCGCCAGGCTCCAGACTGGTAGTCTGTGCATGTGTGAATGCGAGCAAACGTGTGTTTCGGTGTGTGTACATACACCTCTGTGTGTGTGGGTAATTAAATCTTAATCACACAGGCTTAAACCACAGGTTCACCATTGTTCTGCTTGTCACCTGAAGGACTTGCATATGTTGACCTCTCTGTAAGTTGTTTCACTATTCCTACCTCTATCACAGCGTCCATCTTAGACTGTGTGTTCCCTAATCATTTCTTCACTGAATTAACACCAGACCATTTATATGACCTCTGTGGTCATTATACTTGTGGGGTGCAATCCAGCCATGCTGAAAGCACAATAGCATGCATACCACCATGGCCGGATGCCATACCTCCCTGTACTGTACTGGATAACGAGCGAAGCACAGCAGAGCTGAGCTGGGCCTGGTGAGCACTTGGACAGCAGACCACCCTTGGAAAATAAAATTGCCTCTGAAAGTGTTAGAGGCCAGGGGAGGAAGTTACTTCCTTAACATCCCAGTATTTGGGCCTGCAAATGAGTTATGTGTTATTGACTGGATATCAATGATAATAGCAATTAAAGCTCTGAGCTGACAGTCCATCCACAGCGCTTCACACTCACTTTGACATTTAATTGGGATTAACATTAATTGTGATAATACACCATAGTATATACAAAATGTTTAATATAATTTATGACAAAGAGCACAAAAATTGAAATTTCAGTGCTTGTTGTGGAAAGGTACAAGGCAGGTACAAGAATTTCATTTTACACAAACCAGAATAAATACAAGTAAAAACATTCAAAACATGATGACAGCAATGGGTGAAAATGGGACACTGCAATAAGCTTCAGAAGCTTGTGAATAGGGGCTCAGTCACTTCAGCCACAAAATACTTCATACCTAGAACTCTGAAAAGAATAAATAAATGGTCCCAAAGCATTTGTCCCATCAATCCAAACATGAATCCAATAGGCAAGATACACAATCAGAAATAAATGGTGAATGAAAATAACAGCACAGTAGAGTAACTCATTCCGAAGACCCCAGCGTTTTCATGGTAAACAAGTTTTTAAACATATTTTCAGTTCTTTTTAAATCCTCACACACAGCATGTACCGCAGACACCGGGGACGCAGCAGCCGCAGCAAAACTGGCATCTAACAGGGTCACTGTAATTCTTCTGTCCGATGTTGTACGGCATCTGTGTGAAAGACGAGAGACGTGAGCGAGGTCTTTTCTCATCCGCAAAAGTATAAGGGCACTTTGTAGGGAAAACACAAAGTTACATTTGAATGACCTCATGTTAAATAGAGTTAATTCAATTTAATCAAATAAATGTACCATCCATGTTTCTACTGATGTCTCCTCCTCTTCTGCAGATGGATCGTCAAGGCTCATTGTCTCCTCCGGCTGTTGCACCTGTTAATGAATTGTGCACATTTAGAAACGACACCTCAGCGTCCTGACAAAAACACTCTAATAGCTAATCAGCAAATGAAGTGATTTAAAGTAAAGCTCTTACTCCAGTGACAGGGAATGCAGAGCTCTCCTGAATGTTAATAAAGGTGAGCACAACCACAGCAACCGCAACACTGAGTGTCTTCATCCTCAGTTCACTTCTACAGTTGGTGTAGTTTATTGCCTCTGTCAATGACTCTTGTCAGCTCCTGTTTGATGATGCGTGTAAAACCTGCTGGTATTTATACTCACTTAGGCCACTGTTGCCTCATCACTGGCAGCACTTCTCCACGAACGTGCTGGGAATGTGTTGTCGGAAATTCCCGAAGAATGGCAATGGGATGTTCTTTATTTTTGTTTATCTGTTCAATATTAGCTCAACCAGGATGTTTTAAATGATTTTTCTACAGATCAATACAGCCACTGTATTGCATGGCCTACAGAGCTGCTCATCTTACACCCTCCACCAGCCTGCTTGAAATCCTTTGACCAGTGAGAGTGTTTAACTCCACAATAGCACAACATACAACATTTCATATCATGATGTCCTTCTCAAATGTAGTATTACGAGCAGCAGAATACAGCATATACAGCATTGTATGTATATTTAATCTGTATTCCCTAAACTGACCAGGTAAAACATACAAATTGAAAATCACAGACGGTTTTGTAAAATCATTTGTTTGCTTATTTTGGATTATTACAACAGCGCACTTAATAGCATACCATTTTCAATAGATCAATGCCATATATAATACAGTATAACTGTTAAAGTATTTTAATAGATTGATTTCAGAATACCTCATCTTTATTGCTTAGTGCAAAAAGCCTATTCAAAAGTCAAAAGTCCACAGATAACACTGATAAGATCAGCGGTCTGTGAATTTTAGGTAACTTCAGTCTTTCCACAACTTGTGAAATAACCAAAGTCCCTGACTGACTGTCACTCGTTTACTGATTTACTTTACCTGACCACATATAGGCTGCAGGCTGTAGACCACGCAGGCTACTCATTACTCATTATTTATTTTTTAATATGACAGAACAGTATTACCTTCAGCATTTCTTTAAAATGTTCATTATATCACATAAAGATGAACACGTCAAATAAGGGTTGCAAAAGAAACGGAAGTCTAACCTTGTCTTCACTATTTTCTTCAACTGCCTTTAAGCCTTCTAAGTTTGTTACTTCTTTGTTAAGTTTGTTTGCTCTTTTAATAAAGGCAATTAAAATCCAAAACAGCAGCATACGTGAACAAAACCTCTGGCCATGTAGTAAAGTTGATTCTTTTGCTCATGTTTATTGTGCTTTGGGGGGGATTTTGCTTCAGAAAAAATATCGTTTGTTAAGGATGTTTTTATATATTGTTGTTGAAAAGTAATGCATTACATTTTCACATAGAAACAGGAATAATATGTTTGCTTGATCAATTGAAAAAGCTTGTTGTTTATTCAAAGATTAGATTTGTTTCCTGCATACATATGTGAAAAATTATCATTCTGCTTATTCACTTTTTTTTATTGTATGCAAAACATTCAAGAAAGTAGCTAAATAATTGTTTATAAAATGTTCCAAAAGTTGTCAGGATTTAATATTATCTAAATGGGCAATGTATCTCGCGATATACAGTGTAAATTGGTAAATACATGTCATGTTCTAAAAATTATTCATTTATATTAATATTATTATAGAAATAATTGATTTTATAAAATATTTGTATGTGCTACAACTTATTGCAGGAAACATGAAATGAATGATCAGCACAAAACCATAATCACGCTAAGAACTGTCTATATAGTTTGTTTCACTGGTGTCTACTTGAGATTACTGGTGTGTAGAAAAGGTAGAGAATGTTTTGTAGTAGCACAAGTACACAATATATGCAGATTTTGGCAAAATATGTAGATGATACAGTCACATCACTGAACACACATTAACTATAGAGTGGCTAAGTCGAATAACTAAACTGAATTTTTACAAAAAGCCAAACAAATGAACATTTAACGGTTGTTGGAGCAGGAATCCTCAGAATCTGCAGCACACTCCACAGACACCGGGGGTGCAGCAGCCGCAGCAGAAGCGACACTTAATGCCACGCTTCTGTCTGTTATATGGCATCTGTGTGAAACACAAGAGACATGAGAAGGTGTTGATCTCCAACATTATCACTCACTCTGTTTATTCTCTCTCCTTGTATGAACAGAGCATCAGGAAAACACATCCACTTCCATCTGATTTAGTCCATTTAATGGATTCAGTTAACTCAACATACCATCCATGAGTCCACTGATGTCTCCTGATGTTCAACAGCTGGATTGTCATTGCTCACCGCCTCCTCCAGCTCCTGTATCTGTTAAAGAAGAAACCAAAACTCAGAGTCTTGGAAAGACGTTGATGGCTAATGAGCAAACGGAATAAGTTCAGGTCAGGTTCTTACCTCAGTAAATGTGGCAGAGCTCTCCTGAATACAAATCAAGGTGAGCATGACGGCAACTGCAACTGCAACACTGAAGGTCTTCATCTTAGGAGAGAGTGACTTGTTGAAGTTGTTATGTTCTTTGACTCTTTTGGTGACTCTTCTCACTTCCTCTGAGTTCTCCTGTCTGATGGCTGAATGTGCAAAATGTGCTGGTATTTATACTCACTTGGGCCACTGTTGCCTCATCACTGACAGCACAGCACCTGCTTTCAGGAGCACTGCCACTTCCCAGCATCTCTACAGTAAGTGATCCTGGGAAATTCCTGACAGATGGGAAATTCTGTTTTTCTGCAACATCAAATCAACATGAACTCTCTCTCTTTTCCTGAGTTGCTTAGAAATACAGGTCTCAGCATGCTTATACTTATACTAGTATCAATCTTTGTGACATTTAATAACAAGCACATATAACATACAAAATGAAAATGAAGTGATTTTGTAAATACTTTTGTTTCATGCACAGGTTGATTGACATAAATGGGTCAGCAGGGCCCTCCTGGAAGCTGCTTTTTGCATTGATGATAGACTTCTTACCATAATTTCATGTCATCTTGCGTACTCTCACTTTGTGCACAAGCAGATCTGTTTCTTCTGCAGAGAAGCATTCTTACTCACTACCTGGCAAATATTCCAGAATAGTAATCTGCCAAGGAGCAAGTGCACCTGGCTTTTAAAGAGAATAGGAGAAGACACACTGATTGGTTTATTGTTACGCACAAAACACACCTATGACCCCTTTTGAACCATGTGCGTCTTTTTTCCCACCGTTAAACTAGCAGAGGTGGATTTGGACTAAACCTAAATCCACTTGTGCTATGTGTTTTAAACGTTTTAGACACACACACACACTAACGTTAATGGCTGCCAGCAGTCCAGTACAACACAGAATCATCCCATATTGAAAATTGAGTCAATACGACATGATTTGTCCCGTATGTACGTGCACAGAACTGTGTAAATGAGTCATTCCTCATTTAGCCTACATGCACATGTAGTTGATGGAGATTTGGCGCTTCTTACAACCAGATGCAGCTACAGCCTCTCACATGTTAGAAAGAAACGGCAAGGCCAATCCTATTAGGGACTCAAAGTAGAGAGCGTGATCTGTTACTGTTTGTGTAGCAAATGCATTGATCAGACACAGACATATTTAAACTTTTTGATCAAATTATCGCAATGGACACTTACCGTCATTACCACATTCTACACCCATCAAAATGGCAAGATGGTTTGAGATTGGTAAAAATATGGGACAATTCAGCAACTTAAAGGAGCTATGTGCAAGTTTTAATATTGCTACACAGCCAATGTTAGCACTAACAGCTCTTTATGTACCAGTGTTGCTGTATCCATCATTGTGTTTACAATACAAAAGGTTTAAAAGGGACCCTAGGAACTTGCAACGTTTCTTCTGAAGTGGTCAGTAAACAGGTGTTAATGTCAACGGTGGCTATGTAGCAATAGCAAAACTAACGAATAACTTCTTTAACATTGATAGGGACATGTTCATAGTGTCCATACCCAAATCTACAACCATGAAAGTAATACTGAGAATTCAAATGGCCCTTTTCATCCTCTACCTTTATTTTTCTTCTTCTGTAATTCTGTGTCCACATTACTGACTCACACATCTACATTTATCCATAAATAATCATTCTTTTAGTTTAATTTTGCTTTTGTTTTAAACTCAATCCGAGCATGATTGAGTGATGAGGAATACAAATTCAAAAATGGCATCTAGTGGCCAGTTTGTTTACACTAAGAATAATAATATCATTGTCATAAAGCATTTATGTCACACTGTTAAAACTAAATCTGATGTATATGACTTATCTTAACAATTGGTAATATATGTTAGGACATCTATAATGAATTTCCATTTAAGCTGTGTAAAAAACAAAAGTATTTACAAAATCAATTCATTTTGATTTTGCATGTTTTGTGTGTTTGTTGTTATTATATGTCACAAAGATTAATAGTAGGCTTATAGATTAAGTATAGGCATGCTGTATGACAGACCTGTACTTCAAGCCAACCCAGGAAAAGAGAGAAAGTTCATGTTGATTTGATGTTGTAGGACAAAAACACAGCACTTTCCATCTGTCAGGAATTTCCCAAGATCACTTACTGTAGAGATGCTGGGAAGTGGCAGTGCTCCTGAAAGCAGGTGCTGTGCTGTCAGTGATGAGGCAACAGTGGCCCAAGTGAGTATAAATACCAGCACATTTTGCACATTCAGCCATCAGACAGGAGAACTCAGAGGAAGTGAGAAGAGTCACCAAAAGAGTCAAAGAACATAACAACTTCAACAAGTCACTCTCTCCTAAGATGAAGACCTTCAGTGTTGCAGTTGCAGTGGCCGTCATGCTCACCTTTATTTGTATTCAGGAGAGCTCTGCCACATTTACTGAGGTAAGAACCTGACCTGAACTTATTCCGTTTGCTCATTAGCCATCAACGTCTTTCCAAGACTCTGAGTTTCTTCTTTAACAGATACAGGAGCTGGAGGAGGCGGTGAGCAATGACAATCCAGCTGTTGAACATCAGGAGACATCAGTGGACTCATGGATGGTATGTTGAGTTAACTGAATCCATTAAATGGACTAAATCAGATGGAAGTGGATGTGTTTTCCTGATGCTCTGTTCACACAAGGAGAGAGAATAAACAGAGTGAGTGATAATGTTGGAGATCACCACCTTCTCATGTCTCTTGTGTTTCACACAGATGCCATATAACAGACAGAAGCGTGGCATTAAGTGTTCGCCTTTCTGCCTGCGGCTTGCCCTGCAACCCCCAACGGTCGACCGCTCTTTCGTGGACTGCTTGCTGCCCGCCAAGATCCTCTGGACGATATCCTGCATCCAAAACACACCGTTAAATGTTCATTTGTTTGGCCTTTAGTTTTACCACTTTGAATTATTGTAACAATGGTTGTAAAGTTCTGATTGCATGTTTCTGGATTGGTCACACTGTAGTTAATGTGTGCTCAGTGATGTGACTGTATCATCCACATGTTATTCCTACATATCTGACTGATTATCACAATAAACTTCAATGTCACTATATTACACTGTGTGAATGTGTTCAATTATGAATATAAGTCACTGTCATATTGCCACTCTCAAGAACATTGTTCCTGCTCTCTACACTCCACAGCTTCTAAATACACAACAAGACTTTTTTCACAGAGGAGTTTCTTGACATAATTTATACATCGCACTGATGTGCAGTGGGTAAAATGTCATAAACTGCCCTTTCTTCTGTTAACATGACTATTGAGAGACACTCTGGGATTTTTTATCATAAAAGGCAACAACGAGAAAAATTAAACTTCTAATATGGGTTCCCGCACCACATGGGCATGAAGGGTGCTGTGTGTGTCTGTGTGTGTGATGTGTGACCTTACTCTCTCACACCTGCCGAAGTAGAACTGAACTTTCCCGCACTGTGGAGGGCGCGAGGTATTCCCGCAAGGACATTGGTAGTTCATGCAAAATAAGGGAGGAGCAAACATACTAAAAGCTTGCATGGTAGCCCTCTATCCCTCTATGTATACTGCAATCTGCACGCTCTCTCACTGTGAAAAATGTCCTCTGGGAAAAGTATTACTGTCAATGCTGTTCTGGAACAGCTCTTTGACAGTGAAAGTGACATAGAGGAGAATGTGTCTGAGACAGAGGATTGTTGAGAGAGGACCCTGATTTTGAGGCATTCTCATCTGATGAGAATGAGAGTGTTGACCCTCCTGTTGTTCTCTCAACCAACCAGCAGACACGATCCTTCCAAAATGGAACGATAATATGGCTCTCTTTCCCCACTTAGACAGCAGGGTAGACCTTAGCGCTACTAACATTATCAAAAATGTTCCAGGCCCCCACCAGATATGCGCAATCAGCCATGTTGCAAGACATCAAGTCATCATTAGAGCTCTTCATAACACCATCGATCGAAAATATTGTACTTGGGATGACAAATTTAGAGGGGAAGCGTGTGTTTGGGGACAGTTGGAAAGACTTGGATGTAGTTGACTTGGAAGCCTACATTGGCTTACTCATTTTGGCAGGAGTTTACAGATCAAAAGGTGAAGCAACAGCAAGCCTTTGGAACGCTGAGACTGGAAGGGCAATATTTCCAGCCACTATGTCTCTGAAGACATTCCAAGTTTTGTCCCGTGTCATACGCTTTGATGACAAACAAACAAGGCAGGGCCGACCAACATCAATCAATATGGTTCATTCTGTGAGAGTCATGAATGTGCACCCCAAATTAGAAAAGATTTGGATGAAAGATTTTCAAGATACACTAACTCTAAAACTGAAAGTTTGACCTGATGGTGGCGCTGCAGGGAAGGTCATATCATCACCAAAACCAACAGGGTTCATACTCTTGTGGTCATTAATGTTGTCAGTAAATTTGAGAAGATTTGTATGAAAACTTTTCAAGATAAATTAATTCTAATTTAAAAGTTTGGCCTGATGGTGGCGCTAGAGGAAGGGTCAACTCACTGATAGGTTTCATGATCAAGGGGTTATTTATGTATTCAACAAATAAACAAAGTGCCTGACACAAAAACTTGGTCAAAATTTTTCTGTAAATCATTTTCTGGAGGCAAATATCCCTGGGGTCAGATTGACCCCAAGGGTAAAATGTGTTAGTAATATTTGAGGATAATACGAGGGTTAAGGTCACCTTTGACATTTTTAAATGAACTCAAATACAGAGAATTTATAATCAGGTGACACATATACAAATAAATCTAGAACTAAAATAATTCACAGTCTAACTCAGTATTTGGTCGACAACTCAACAGTCTGCTCACATTATTCCTAAAAATGAATAAATAAATAGCAGAAAGCTTAACTGTTTTGAACCTCAGTTGTTTTGTCTGATGTCATAACAGCTTCCATCAAACTATTTGTGGCAGCATAGTCTACGCTTTGCACGTAATACACCTTGAACGCACCTTGATGGCCTGATAGCCTATCAGTGAGCAGGGGCTCGTATTTAAGACGTCTTCTCCCCTGCTCTTCCGCTTTCCACATTGCTTCCGGTAAAAGGCCGGCTCCCTCATTAACACTGCGTGCATCCCGCTGTGTGTGCTGCTCTGTCGCTCCTGTGTGCTCCAGTTTGGCGTGGTAAGTGTCC